AGCACGCATTCATCCAGCACTTGAGCCGAGTGTATTATTGAGCCTGAGTGTTTGCCAATTGCACAGATTCTCTTCGAACCTCATAAATAATTGAAGCACGATGATAAAGAGCTTGAAGCTCGTATTTGTCCTCAGTTACACTCGTGTGTTGGGTCAGTGCACACTTCACACGGTCAGTCTATGCCGTGTTTCGAGCAGATGTTGCGAGTCATCGGGTGCCGGGGTCAAAGGTCACGTGACGGTCCACTGTGGGTCAGTTATGAGGGCCCCATTGAAAATGCGCTATGCATTGACCCTCTATTAAACATTGTTGTGATAGTAAATCACTGTAATTGGGTGAATTAAAAAGCATACACATGTATTTACAGGAGGCTTTTTCGCCATTCTAGAACAGGCTGTTCTTCCAAGAAATGCAAATTCTTGGCCCAGCAGAGTCTCTGGGTAATATAGGATCATTTGCACCAAAACATGTCAAACTCTGGTCTCTATGCAACAATTAAAGTAAACATTCAGTTTAGTTGTGAAATCTTATGCTAATGAGGTTCCTGAAATATTGAAGACAGAAGATGGAGTATGTTTGCATTTAGATTTCACGAAATTAACCAATCATGCATACTTTCGACCTATTTAGGTTGCAAAGCAACGTCAGTTTGTGAATGGCTCTACAGTAAATACTACCAGAAATGTATAGACTTTGTCAAAAGTAAAAAGTAATGAATAATTTCTCAGACATAGTTTAGACAATAGAGTGCCGAAGTGATGACGTCACTTTGTAGGACAACTCGAACGTTAGCGGCACATGGGTTCCCTCAGTTGAAAAGCAATGCATTTTCCCCATAGACTTTTGGAAAATGGCAAAAAAATAAGATCTGTGTTCAACAAAGAGTTGTGACCCTTACACGTTTTGTCTATGAAGATAATCTTTAAAAGTTAATCCAAAATATATACATTTTGAAGCCTATATAAAGTTTAAAAGACCACAAGCAGACACAATAAAGTTTCAAAAACACAAATACTGTAGGTTATAACTGTGTGTTATATGTCAGAGATCAAAACGTGAAACTATTCAGAGGCTTTTTAACCTTATTTCAGGCGATGTAGCAAAAACCCACTTAAGGGCGAGGGTGCTAAAATGCTAACTCACTTCCGCGTTTCGGCCTACAAAGTGACGTCATAACTTTGGCACTCTATACAGTTGTGCTCATGGATGTCTATTTACTTGTTTAAGTGCCAAAGATTTCATGTCTAACCTCCTGAATCAATGGGTTTGTTTGAAAGTCACTCTTTCTTGTCCGTCTCCTTCCATATTGTGACTCATTTATGTGTAAAACAGATTCTTAATACCAGGTGTAAACATGGCCTTTGCGACGTCAACACTGTTACTGAACTGAACTGAGAATGATAATGATAATGACACTATTGCCATAACTGACGAACTTTTCAACACGGACAGTTTTTGAACTGAACTGAATCAACATTGAACTTTTTACGGCTGAAACTGAAGTAGTTTTGTAATGAAATAAATGCCACTTGACTTGTGACGTTATGAAAGATGGGGACTGGGAATTGCTTGTTTTAACTGATCTTCCCGCTTGACATCAGAGCATGCGATGTACTTTCAGATGGTAACCTCAGGAGTGTGCCTAGAGAACAGCGAGCAGGGGCGGAGGTGAAACGATGCTTTTATACGCGGCGTCTTGTGCCAAGCCGGGGTTTATGCTAGAGCTGATGAACTAGGAGGGAAAATTGAATCTTCTCCCAGACTTAATCCTCAATCGCTCCTCCTGTAATGCATTTTGGACTCACACGTTCGGTTCCCCCACAGTTTCACGGAAGGCAGGGTTATATTTCAGCTGAACCCAGAGTGTCTGATTATTTATCACAAGGCGGGCGAGATGTTTCAGACAGGCGGTGAAAACAGTTTTAAAATCTTTCGGGACATGCAAATAGATTTAAGTGTAAACACCTCGATGTCTGGTCGGCGACTGCATACAATTATTCTTTTCTCATGTATAACTTTGGCTTAAGTGCACCTCTCCGATGGAACTGAATGTTCAAGATCGTCGTACACGGAAAAGGCTCAAAACAACCTTTGGATTTTCACATCATTTGATCATTTTGTATTAAAACATACAGTCGAAAAGGTAGTGCCCTTTATAGCGGAAAACCTGGTAATAGCATCCGCATTTATTATAGTGGACTTTGGCAAAGTCTTTATTTTCCCATTTGAACACAGACTAAGGATATTGTGTATTCACAGATGAAGCTGTGTGTCCTTGTGTCTATCCGCGTTTTAAAAGCAGTTAAGCTCCGTTTTAAACTTTTCCCTCACCATGTTTCCCTCTTATTGCATTAACCTATGATGACCTAACATCATAATAGAGGATTTATGCATTTGTTTTGACAGGGGCGTCTCCCTGATGCACGTCTTTCTCCCTTATCCTCAGAAACGGCTCTGCTATGTTCCCGCTTAGGATCTTTCCCTGCAATTTTTATCCTTATCTTTATTTTGCTGTTCGGAGGACATGACGCAAGGACTTAATATTAGTTGGCCCTCGACTGACCCAGGAACCGAGACCGGAAGAGACTGTTGCCTCTGCAGCTTTCCAAACAAGCACTCCCACATTCCCTGTAGCCGCTCCTCGGCAGGGGGAGGCCGGGAAGCTGAGACCGTCACCACGGGATGTGGACATCCATCAGCCCAGCCAGCAGAGAGATGCTCCTTAGTTCCTGAGCTAGAAACTGCTTTTCTTCCTCCTGTCCTGGGAATCCTGCCCACTCTCCCGGCTGCTTGTGTGAATGGTAACCAGCCTGGGGCTGTCAACGATATAGGGAATCATGTGTAGCCTACCAGTGAATGTTAAATAGTTATACAAAATATTAGAGGAAAATCAGTCGGAAAGAACTAATTGCCAAGAAAACCAGATGATCGTCATGTGATTTGTGGCCATTGGGAAAAGTTTACGAGCGAAGATCAGTCTGCAAGAACCAGTAGAATCAAAGACAAGAAAGTGAGAGAATCTGATAGACATCTAAAAATATGAAATATTTTCATATTTGTGTGCGGAAAAAAATACACAAAGAAAGCAAGAAGCCTCAAGAGTGACTTTCAATAATATCGCATGGCATCATGATCATAATCAATATAAAAATGTTACTGTAAAAGAATGATAAGTCAGAAAGACCAATGAAAGACAAACCATCATTTAAATAATTCATATCTGGGGCTAATAAATAAAGGTTTTTGTTTTTGTAGAAATACACATCTTAATTAGATCTGCTAAAATTTTATAGTTCAGTGAAAGTCAGTCAAGAAAACTACAAAGAAAGCATTAAAGCCAGTGATTTGTGTGATACCGCAGGGAATTGTGGTTATTAGTTAACGTTAATGAACTATTTTACTGTAAGAGGAAAATCAGTCAGAAATCAAGAAAAGAAATCACACGTGTGCTTTGCGTGGTCAAAACTGCACCAAGTCATGCGCAATTTCACTTTTACGGCGCATGCAAATAAAAAATTCAAGTTGCTAAAGTTTTTATAGTCATATTTAATCAAATTAATTTCGAAGGTTTTCTTTTAAGTGTGATGTATATGAGTTGTAAAAGTAGTCATGTGTGCGAGCAGCAGCTGGAATCAATAAATCAGCTGACTGATGCTGGATTGGGTCTGATCAGGATAATCGTTCGGCTGTTGATACGGAGCGCAGCTCGCGCGCTGTGTTAAGGACCGCCTCGCGGGCGACGGGACACTGGCCAATATTATCCAAAACTCAAGGAAATCTTTCTGCCGCTAGACTTTCCACGCGTGAAAATGATCCAAGAGGTGGAATAATCCAGCGAGATACGAGGGCACGAGAGACAAACAAAGAGAGGAAGCGCGAGGGAGGGAGATCACCGATGAGGATGATGATGGTGGCCTAGAAACATCGGGAGTTATTCCTCGTGCTGCTCGACGATGGGGGATTTTACGCATTGCAAAGAAAAGGGGCTCGCTTTCCTCCTCCTCCTCCGCGCACCCCGACATTACTTTTAACTTGTGCTTTCACGCGAGGATGCGGTGAATGCGAACTCGTGGCAGTCCGCCGCTGGAAAGTCGTTCACTCACTCACTCACTTACTGACTCTCTCACTAACAACTCACGTGAAAAGGAACAGCGGCTCTGCGCATTAATGCGTGTGTGCGCGAGCGCGTACGCGTGCTCTCCCGTGACCGATGGCACTGGAATCCGTGCGCAACGGCTATGTGCGCACTTGTGTCACTCCCGTGGAGCAGGACTGCTGGCACTCGTGCTTGCGGAGCCGTAGGAGCCTCTCCTCGGCCGTGTGTGTCGCCTCGCTGTCCGTGCTCCTCGCGCTGCTCGCTCATCAGTCCGCGGACTGGGACGCTGAGCGCGCACACGCGCACTCGGGATCTCCGGCGCTGCACTTGGTGACGCTCGTGGAGCTCGTGTGGCAGTTGCTCTCGCCCGTCTTCACGCTCGTGTGTGCCTTCTTCTGGGTGGGTGTGTATCTGCTCCGCTGCGGGGTGCTCATCCGTACGGCCGTGTTCCTGCTCACCGTGTGCCATCTGGGCGAAGCGGCGGCGCAGTCTCTGCTGGATGCGCATCAGCTCTACTCGTTCACGGCCACCGCGCTGGTGCTGCTCGCCTGCCTGGCCAGCGGGGCGCTCATGGTGGTGCGGCTGGGTCAGGGCATCTCCGTGCTCCTCTTCATCAGCATCATCAGGACCGTGTCGCTGCTGTCGCTGCAGAAGGTGCGCGCCAGTTGGAGACCCTACCTGGCGTACCTGCTCGGGGTGCTGGGGGTCCTGCTGGCGAGGTATGCGGACAGACTTCTGCCGGAGCAGGGCGCATCACACCGGGAGGGATCGAGGGGAGATATTCCGGTATTTAAGAGGCGCAGGAGGTCCAGCTCCGTAGTTTCGTCAGACATGGCACATCACGGCCAGCCGAGGAGCAAATCTCACAGGAGGACGTCTCTGCCCTGTCTGCAGAGAGACCAGGTATTGGACCACTTATTGATCACAAATATACAGTACGATTCGGAATTAGTACGGTCATTTATTTTTTTTTTTTTTTAGAAGTAGTACTTGCGCAGCGTGCTCATGAATTGTAAGCTGATCACAGCAACAACAATTGCACCAATAATAACCGGAATGATGTATTTTTAGACCTTGTTTCTGAAATAGGAAATTGAGAGAGAGAGAACTATAATATTGTTGCTATTGATCATTATAATTGGGTCACACTTTACCTTAGTGTTTATTTGGATAAATAATAGTAATGCTAATGCACGCACTTACTGTTCTTGCTTTTGCCTCTTATCACATTATGATCATAAAACATCTATAAAAATATACAGATGAGTTTTTTGGGGAGAGGAATATTTCTGTGGGTTGTCTTTTTCTTGACACTTTGGAGCACTTTCACTCCAGCATGCATTAGTTTTCATGTATTTCAGCAGAACCTGCTGAACTTTGACCTCTTGTACACTATTAGGTGTTTTTTTGATTCTTCAGCTGTTATATTTTAGCATGTTTGACCTAAACTAAAATATTACAGAGCGAGCGTGCATGTGGACTACAGTGGAGATTTTGTGCCCTGCACAACCAAATTGCAAAAGCATGCAGAAGGTTATTTGATGTGAATGTTTATGCATATTTGTGGTGTTTTTTGCTATACACACACACAAGTACAGAACACTGACGATTTGGCTTGTCAACGGGACGTCATTGTATGGCCAATTGTAAATTTCTTCAGCAATGTAGTATTTTAAAAGAACACACACACATTATTTCTTTACATTTTTGATCATCAAAGCTTTTTTTTGTATTTTGAGAAAAAAATATTTTATAGATAATTATTACATTAAATGCATTGTAAGTCTAGTAGTAATGCTTAGACCGATGATTGGCAAAGTGCACAAAATATTTAGCTGAAAAAATCTGGAAGTCTAAATAATTGGCTATTGTTACGCATGGTGTTGAAACTAAACTGTTAAATCAAGTGCAGGAATTACTGCAGTGTGATTCCTTGAAAATATTGTATTCACACTTGCCCGTCTTTTTGTCCGGTTTGCTGCTCATGCATGTGAAAATATGCGGTATACAATTTAAAGTTTAGCATTAAATCTTGTAGTGAATGTAAATGGAGATTAATTGATTTCTGAATTTAAGCTGAAGGTCTCTAAGCAGTTTAGGTTTGCTGGGACGTTTACTGTTTTCAGTGAAGTTGCTGCCTTTGGTCTGCGAGGGTTTAGTTTGCACCCTCTAGTGGCCACATTATTGATGTATTTGCAGTGGGAACCTTAAAAGGAAGAGCATTTGTGACGAATCAATACATTGTCGTTGCAATACTTCTGCCATATTTGCTTTGAGTGTGAAATGGAAAAGAATACTGACCCCTGAGTGTGTTTTCCATGTATAACACACACCTGGTGCACATGTGTGATGTCTGCAGTGATATTAGTTCGTATAAAGGTTTATGTGTAGTTGTTTTATCTGTGTGGTCTGGCTGTGTAAACATACCACTGTGTGACCCCTGCAACGACAATAACCTGTGTCTCGACAGGCCACAGAACAGCTCCAGTGCACACATGAAGACGTTAGTGCGGATCATACACTAGACGGATTTCAGAAAAATGGCCTTCTATAAGAAGTGAGGAGCATTTATGGGTACAAGTCGGGTACCGGCCTATCTTACATATTTCAAGGGTGCTGAGTCCAAAAAAAACTGGTACCCAAGTGAAATTTTGAGTTTTTTACCTTCCAATTTGCATATCAACATGGCCGCCAAATTGCCTATTTTGCTCAGTCGTTGGACCATTTTCTCCTAGTTTTTTTGTAAGTAGGCAATCAAAATGAAGAAATTAAGTTTTTAGATCGATAGTCAAGGGTCAGAGCAAAGATATATTGGATATTTTTTTATGTATATATATTTGTAAAATACCAACTTTTAAGGCGAAACACTAGGTGAATTGGGTAAGATTTTTAAATAATAGATATCACCATGAAACTACCTCAGTTGATTAGTTACACAAGTATATAAAAAAAAATGTATTACAAGTTTTTTAAATTTGTATGTTTAATTATGCAAATTAGGCATTATCTCATTAAATATGCCCAATTTTGCATATATTTTCGGTAGATAGATCTGAACATATGATAAAGCCAGGTGCAAAATATTTTTTTTCACTTTCACTTTTTGGGACATCCCATCCAGACTATCAGAGTCTCCTCCACGGGTGTTGTTGGTCTGAAAACGGTTCTGGTACAGGGTTTGCACGTGATCGTGTATTGACGATGCATCTTTGCACACTCCTGTCACACGTTAATCGCAACTGCTCGTGTCTGTATAAATCCCATTCTTGTAATGCATCTGCAGACAAATGCCAGTTTGGGAAGTTGACTTGGGACAAACACACTGAAAAATGCATCTTCTCCTCCTGAGTCATAACCGAGCTACATGATGACAGTTCAGATCAGCTCACATTTAATAAGTGTTTATGTATCGCAAAGCACTAAAGTCATGAGTTTGATTCCCAAGAGGATGCATGAATTTATCAAATGCAACATAAGTCACTTTGGATTAAACTACAATATCAACTGATTCTCATTAGAGCATTACTAGGGATAGTATAATTTGACATTTACTTGCAAAGTTACTTAGTCAATTGAAGAGCATCAAAATAGCAGATATTTAGCAGACTAATACTGTTAGTTGACATGTAGTTTCAAATGCATTCTACTAACTGCCAAATTTGTATAAAAAGCACATTTATTCATTTAGCTAGCTTTTATAGTCAATTCCCTGGAAATCGAACCCATGAGCTTGGCGTTGCAAGCATTCCACTATTTGAGCTACAGAACAGCCAAATGTAAAAAACAATTGAGAACCAAAAGTACTATGCAATCTCTCTTTCGTTCCGAGCATCCAGTAAATGTTTAATTTGGGGTGGTTGGTTATCGGCTCGTATCACCCATGCTGCCCGGCGAGGTAAACAGGAAGTGACCTCAGAGTCGCTGTGACCATTATCCCACTCAGCAGAGCACATGCCCTGGGCACTTTCAGTGACTCAAAATCATTCCCGTTATGAACATCGCTGTGTGAAGTGAGTTACGTAACGTTTTTTAAATGGACTGAGAACAGGACGCTGAATTAGCCTTCCTTCTTCACTCACTTGTCCCCGTTGTGGCCTTTCTTTAGACTTGACTAACCTTCGATGATAACATGCAGTTTTGGACCTTACAGTTGGAACTATTACTTGTAGTTAACTAGCGTCTAAAAGATAATGTATCTCATCTTGAGTGTTTCTGGGTGGTAAACTGAACCGTACCTCGCTGCGTTTAAGCGCAGGTCTCCAGAGGACGGTGTTCGTGGAAAACCCCCGTTTAATGACACGAGCAGTCGTTTCAACTCAAACACCTCACCGCATGGAGTCTTTAGAAGCCTTTAGCGGGTCACTGAGTTGCGATTAGCCCAGGGCTGCCTGGAAAAGCTGTTCGCTGTGAGCCGGAGCCTCTGGGCACAGCAGAGAGTATTTAAATCTTCTCTTAAAGGGGAAGTGTGCCCTTTTTAATGTTAGAATACTTGTTCCTGTTCCAGTTTAATGTGCACAGATTAGTATAATCAAGGTTCAACACCTAAAACAAGATGTTTCGAATTTTTGTTCTTTGGTGTTCTCGCAATTTCAACTTTTTGAAATCTGTCATAGCAGGGATTCAGCGCATGTTGTGTAAAAGTTGTGTTGTGGGGTGTTTTATGGCAGACTTGAATATAAAAGGGCAACAGGTTTTTGTCTTCAAGGAGTAGTTCACTTTTAAAAAAACCTTTGCTGATAATTTACTCATCCAAGATGTCCATGTCTTTCTTTCTTCAGTCGAAAAGAAATGAAACTCTCATTTGGACCTTGAACCGTTTGGACCCCATTGAAGTCCATTATATGGAGAAAATCCTAGAATGTTTTCATCAAAAACTGTGCTGAGGAAGATCTAGAGCTGAAATTCAGATATACACTGTAAAAAATATTTTCAAGATTTGTTATCACAACATATTTTCTTTTGTCAAATCAACTTTATAATAATTTATTTAGTTGAGATAACTTATTATTTTGAGTTTCTGATGGTTAAATTAATCTACTTCATTGTATTAACCCCCTTTTTCCAGTTCAATCAACTTAAAATTTTAAGGCAATCCCAGGTTACTTACTTTTTTAAGTTAAACCAACAATATTTTTTTACAGTGTAGTAATCACAACATTTTTTTCTTTTGTCAAATCAACTTTATAATAATTTATTTAGTTGAGATAACATATAATTTTGAGTTTCTGATGGTTAAATTAATCTCCTTCATTGTATTAACTCACTTTTTCCAGATCAATGAACTTAAAATTTTAAGGCAATCCCAGGTTACTTACTTTTTTAAGTTAAACCATCAATATTTTTTTACAGTGTAGTAATATAGGCATTTCATTTCCATCACACACTCTCAGCGGTAAACCAATCACAACAGACTGGGTCTTCTGACCAATCAGAGCAGAGGAAGCTCTCAGAAAGGCGGAGTTTAGAGAGACACTGAGAAAAGTGGTGATGCTGCAATTTATATTACGAGATAATTAAAGTGTTTTTTGACCTTGGATGCATGTAAATCTATAGTAGGAGACTCTGTAACAAAATTAGGAACCTGTAAGATAAGGGGCATGTTTTCTTGGCAATATGATAATTAATTCTCTTGATGTCAGACCTTAAAAGTCATAGAAACATTATCATGGATTTTTTCAATTGAACTGTTACGACTTCCACTTCTGAGAAACCCCGTAAATGTGCAAAAATGTGCAGTGAATGCATTTAAGAAAGTACAATAGGTCAATCCAAATGACTTAATAATACAGTAAGAGAAAGAGTTTGCCGCTTTTGTCACATCTCTTCCCCAGATGATTAAATGAAAGGTCCTCCCCTCCCAGAACTAGAAAAACAGTGGCATTTTTAGTGGCCTGAGAAATTAA